AAACAAAAAAAAAAAAAAACCACCAGGGTTATAGGCCGGGGAGAGTACAGCAAGGGGACTGGTCAGAAACTTATTTTTGTAATTAACTTGAACATTTTCAAGACTTCAAACAAACGTGAAAAAGCCTGACAAGTTGTTGCCAAAATATTGAAATAATTGAATATTTTAATCACTAATTTGCTTATTTAAGATAGTTTGATAAACAGGGCATGTCACAGACATGCGATTTCTGGTTCATTTACTCTTCATATCGCTTTAATATATAAAGAAAAATGAAACATCTTTTTTTGCCAACTTTTAAGAATATTAGGCCTAACCTTTTCCTTTGTGTACTTCCTTGCTTTTACCTCGCCTGTAAAATGCGACCTACCTTAACTTGCCATCAGCCGCTCGTATCCACCGGTTTAGAGGAAACTGAAATAGATCTTCATCTCCCTTAACAACGGACACCCACTCGGCAAACCAATCATCTTTGACTCGGTCTTTACCCTTATTACAGATATCTATGGCAGCCACGTCGCCAAAGTCACTGCTTATACCTTTGACGTTGAAGATATCTGTCTGTCCACGCTCCAAATCATCGTGTAATCGCGTGTCTAGTTTGATTTTTGGCGATGCATCTCCGTTCTTATTGTAGAGAGTCACGAAAACATTAGCATCAGTTCCTCCGTTTGGTCGATCTCCTGTCTTCGCCATGACGGTATAAGAACTGTCCTTTTTCTTGCTTAGTTCATGTCCCATGTCTAATATTATCGGTTTACAAATTATATAGTAGTAGTAGTATCCAAATACACTGCGCTTTCACGAGTAGAATGTTTTTGCAAGCCTTCTGGTTTTCACTTCCTATAAACTGATCACTACAATCATTGTACCATATAGCTCAATGCTTCAAGAACGTTATTGTACTAAGTACAGGTTTTCCAGTGAAACTTAGTCGAGCGTGAAATATGCAACAGGTTTGTGTCGTCACGGGCTTGCTAAGTTGTAAACGACACATCTACAGTCTAATCCCCAATAATTTGAGTTGAGCTTGATCTTGGTCTTGATTTTTGCAACGGAAATAAAAATCCCATAACAAACATAATGCCGCTTTCATTAATTGGGCTTTTTGGCACCTTACTCTAAGTTATTACTATATACACCACGTTTGTCCTACTATATTCCCTCCCACCCAACACACCTTCTATTTACAGTGGCA